ATAAAACCATCCATACTCTCATTTATAGGACAAAATTAAGTACTAAAAAAATCTGTTAGTGATCCGTACACAAAGGGTTAGACATTAACATCCCAATGATTTCTTGCATGTTTATTTTTAACAATTTACAGTTATTTAATGGTTTATGATTTCGAGGAATTGAGTATATCATATGTAAAACATGTAGTTGATGCTTCACTTCAATGCCATGTTGGATTGTTGGTCATAAACCAATCAAGTAGAATTCATATTTGGTTCATTGTGAGGTGCATATTTAATCTTGTGGGTTTGATGAAGATGAAGAGTGGAAAATAAATAAGTATGTATTTCTTAAATGATAAGAAACTTTGAGTATTTATGTTGTATTGTGTTGTGAAATGAGTAATCGAGTATTTGAGTTGTCTTGTAATTGGTTGTATTTAAGTTTGGGATTTATAAGGGACAAATTAGGGTTGTAATTTTATTTCAAAATTAAGTATGAGTCAGGCGTAGTGGCTGCAATGTGTACATCATTGACAACTTATATAAGAATTGATTTATTCTAAAACCTCATGGTTTCACAATAATGAAAAAAAAATTAACTTTGAGTCACTTAGACTTGGTCTAATACCACCATCAGTCAGCCACTAAGGTGAGTGAGGGGCTGCCACGTCACATCCCTATGGGATGTCCTTGATTGTCATATTGTGGAAACAAATTCAAAAAGGCTCATTTTGGGGTTTAAAAAATTTCAAAATATTATCTAAAATTTTCAAAAATTTTCCAAATGATTTTTCATTAATATTACACCTTTTATGATCAAAATAAAATAACACCAAAGGTAAATGAGATCTCTAAGCTTAACAATAGGCACTGGAGTACTCCATTTGGGCTAATCTCATGTGGCAGTCCACTTCGTCTCAAGGTGACCCAACAGTCTGTGGCAGGGACACATAATTGACCACATCGAAGTCACTTTAATTAAGCTTCTCATCATCAGGTTCTCAATGGATAATAGATTCACCATTGTATAACATATAAGTACTCAAAAACAGGGGCCCTCTCAACGCACATGTGCACTCGCTTCTTAGTGGGATCAAACTATAGAATAGTGGCTTCCCAAAATGCGACTGTTAGTGCATATGCCATGGTGTGGTCTCGTGTCAAGATACAAACTCATGTCCCTTGAGTCATGACCACTCAACACAAGGCCATTACTCAGAAAATACTTGGGTTCTATTGTACTCATTTGGTTCTCATCGCCATGGCCAATCACCACAACCATTAGGCATACTCAACAAAAAAGCCCCAACTCGGAGGTGACCCTCAAACCTCCGCGAGAGATTACTCTCTCAAAGCGCAAATACTCATTGCCTCATGTACTCGAGGTATATAAATCGGAGCCCCAATACACCAAACATCCATATTCAATTTCTCTCTCTTAGTCCCAACTCTAATACAAGGGTCCTCTCAAGTCACATGTGCATATGTAATCTTGTGATTTTTATGAAGATAGAGATTGGTCTTGAAGTGTTTGATGTAATTCATAAGTAATGACAAATTTCAGTATGTATCTTATATAGTGCTGTATAAATAAGGACTTGAGCAGTTGAGCATCACTTATGTTTGGATATATTTCAAATTTTGGATTTGTACAGGGACCAATTAGAGTTGAAATTTTTATTTTAAAATAAAAGCAAAACCAAGTTCAGTGGCAAGAACTTGTGTACATTTGCCAATTTATATGAGGAATCTATGTATTTTCAAAACCTCTTTGTTTCAAAACAATAAAAAAATTTAAATGAGTCACTTGGACTTGGCTTAACACACCAACAAATGGTATCATAACACTTATATGTCCCACAAGGGTGCACATGTAATCCATTGAGAACATGATGATGGAAAATTTAATTAAAGTGACTTTGACGCGGCCAATTATATGTCATTACCATAGACTGTGAAGCATAAATCCATTAGGTCATCTTGAGACAGTGAACCACCATTCTAAACTACCCCAATGGAGTACTCCAATGCTTAGTGTTAAGCCTAAAGATCTCATTTACCTTTTGTCCTATTTTATTTTAATGAAAAAAAATGTATTATTAGTGAAAAATCATTTGGAGAATATTACATTCTGCAAGGAGGCCATGTGGCCCCCACACGCCACCTAGGGTCCAACATCAACATAACATCATGGCCTATGCGTGGGGGCCCTTTTGGAATTAGGCATTTTGTTATATTGTGTTGTTTGTTTTATTTCCTAAGGTGTAGTATATTGTTGTAAAATGCAATTTTTATAAGGTTTTTTTATTTATTGCTACATGCTAATTTGACTCACATGGGACCCTTTTGGAAAGTGTGACAGTGATACCAATATTATTTGAGAAATATTTTGAATTAATAACCTTATCCATGTGAGAGATTATGGCATGTGTGAATTTCTCATGTAGCTTTGTCCCATAGGCTTGAGCCAATTGAAAATTATTGGTTGTTGAAATTTCGTTGGATGTGTCGCAAGATATTTTCTTCACAAGTGGGTTTTTTTAATTACTACAAAGGACATGCCCTTGTCCATATAGTAATTTAGTGATTTTACTAAAACGAAGGGCTTCTATAGAATCTCTACAATGCACTTAAATGGTATTTTTTTATGGGACAAAGAGACCAAAATGTTAAAAAATCAACTTAGGGTTTAATTAAGGGGTGATGGTGGTGTTAAAAACTCATCCATTTCCGTTGATATAAGTGGTCGGATGCGGAAGAGTGGCTAAAATCATATAGCCTCTCATGTGCCATAGATGAAAAGCACCAAGGACTAAAATCGCTTCACCACTTACCACTTAATATAAATACCACATGAAATTCATTCTTCACTAACTTAAGAGACCACTTTATGAACTTAGAGAGAGAGCAAAAGAGGCCCACGTACTTGCCCCTTTCCCCTTCCTTTACTCATCAAATTTTGGTGATCTATTCTCCTATGGTGTGCTAGCTTATCTTTGAGGATCAATCGGATCATCTCCATATCTAACGTAATCATTTTCTTGAAGTTTAGTTTCCATTAAAACATATTTCCTCCATCAATAACTTGCTATAAATTTCATTTTACAGAAGTTCTTCATCATATCATCCTTAGTTTCCAATGTATTTCATGTTCAAATTGAACCATATGCACCATCCCATGAATAAGTGTAGTCTAATTCGAACCCTCATCAACTAGACATCTATTTTTCCAGTTTTTTATTACCTAAATTTTTTTAACACATGAGTGAATATAAACATCATATCAGTGAGCTTTCTTCCACAATTTAAATTCAAAAGCATAGAGTTCGTGGTAGCCTTGCACTTTGAGAAAATGTCTTGTGATACTATGCTCCATAGTACGTGGTATGCCCATTGTTTAAGTCTTTTGAATTGGATATATCTCAACCCTCTTTGATACTTGGTCATCTTCATATCTCTATCAAATTGAACTTGTAAAAGTGGGTATAAAATTTATTATAAGCTTTCGAAAGTCAAGTGATCTCTTTGAGTATTGAAATCATCAATGCCCTTTTCTATTGGACAAAATTAAGTCCCTAAAAATCTGATTTGTGATCCGAGTACAAAAGGTTCGACCATTGGCTTTCCATTAATTGTCTGTAAGTTTATTTATTGTTAATTAATGTTTTGTGCTATGGAGGAATTGAGCATTCATACATGAAACATGATCGCTTTTATGCCTATATATCCTATGCCCTAATGCCATGATGAATTATTAGCAATAAACCATGCAAATTGAATTCATATTTGGCCCACCATGATCAAGTCAATTGTATATATGTAATCTTGTATTTTTTATGAAGATGGAGTTTGGTCGTGAAGTATTTGATGTAATTCATAAGTGATGACAAATTTGAATATATTATCTTATATAGTGTTGTATACGTGAGGACTTGAGTACATGAGCATTGCCATATGTTTGGTTGTATTTCAACTTTGGGATTTGTAAAAGGACCAATTAGAGTTGTAATTTTTATTTCGAAGTAAGTGTAAAACTAAGTTTACTGGCTGGAATTTGTGTAAAATTGCCAATTTATACGAGGAATTTATGTATTTTCAAAACCTCTCGTTTCACAATGATAAAAATTTAAGACATTCAAGAGCATAGAAATCTGTGCGTTAAAGAGGTTATATCCCCAAAATTTGGGGTCCTAAAACTAATCCTAGGTAGGGTTTTACCCGAGGGAGTAAATGGACAGTACACACCCGAGGGAGTAGAATATCTTTCGGCAACATTAATAGAGGACACACTATAAGTTTTAAACTCGAGATAGTGTGAATATGGAAATGACGGGGAAGTGTATGTGGAGTTTCCCGGAACAGCAGCAACAGAAAAAGGCCACAGTTCAGAATAGCCACAAAAGTTAGTATAGCGCCCAAGCCACTACATCTGGGGGAACTACAAATCAAGCCCACAAAAATTGGTGAAGGGGCACATAAAGGAAATACAGAGGATCTTATAATCATTTTCTCTATGATTCCTTTCCAATGAAAATTCAAAGGCAAAAAAAATAATGAATATTGTAAATATACTATATAGAGGTAATTTAGTCCACAATTAGTATCATCACCACACCCACTTTGATTTAGAAAAGTACAAAGAAAAGACAAAATAAAAGATACGATCAAAGACAAAAAAGGTGAAAATAAACCCAGAAAATGAATCAAAGGAAATAATAAGAAGACGCTCCTATGATTCATGACAGCACCAAACAAGTAATTTGAGGAAAGGGATAATAGGAAAGAAAGATGGTCTAAATAGGAGAGGAAAAAACAGGAGGAGAAAAACCCAAATGCAAATCATGAAGAAAAAGAAATAAGAAGAATTTGAAAACTTGGGTGTTTGTGAGCAACATAGATTATCACCAAGATAAGCAAAGAAAAATTGAAGAGAAACAAAAGCAAGTTAGGGAGGCCAGAATAAAAGAGACGAGCACGGTAAGGGAATAAAGAAGAAAACAACGAAAGTACGGACTTACCTTTTTCACTTTATAACAGAGAGAGGGGGAGGGAGGGAAAGAATCCAAGGCAACACAAAAACATGCGGATCCACCAATTTTTTGCATCAATGGAAACCCAATACCTGCAAAACCCGGAAAAAGCCAATAGGAGAATAATTTTATCATTCACATCACAAGGAACACATTTAGCTCACAAGCTAAAAATTTTAATCCTTAGAGACAAGCACTTAACTAGAAGTAAAGTAAACCATGCTTATGGTTGGGCGTGTGACTAATATCTAATTTGTGCTTTTACATATTCTGATATTCCTCTTTAGAGCATAATAAAATGAGATATTTACAAGCATCATTTAATCAAAACTTCAAGTCAACATCATATCTATTTAAGCAACCATTAGAAAAATATCAAAGACAATCCCTTTGCTAAAAAACACCATGCGTAAAACTACAATATTGCAATACTTTCTAGCCAATTAATTTTCTCACTACAATTCATGCTCCTTAACATAAAAATGATTAGAGGCTCGCTTATTCACATGCATTGAAAAGAAAACATCATCTTCAATATAAGTTTCACAAAAGAGTTCGTCTAAGTATAAGAAGTGGCAGAAGCATCCAAATTGTACAGTCCATTTGCAACTATATACCTAAAACGTACTAATCTGCATAAATAATCAATCAAAATATGAAACACATAAAAAAGCATATTAACACATGGAAAACTCATGAGATTATAATTTATTTGATGCAAATTAAAATAATTTTGTAGTCTCCCCTGTTTGCCACACATTTTTATTCAACCGGTGCTAGACTCTTTTCCATAAATTTACTCAAAACGAAACAAAAAAACAGTTTGTGGTATGACAACAACGAATTATTTTCACCCGTTGATGTGTACTAGTGTGGGATTTTTTTTATTGGAAGTATGCTACCGGCCAGATTTGCCAAACAAGAATGACGGGAATAGCCACACCACTGAATTATCGACAAATGTGGTTGTGCTCAAGGCCACTGCTCATTCATCCTATTCTAAAGTTCCTCAGCCGTAATCTATTTGATTCCAAACTGCAATAGCTAAGAACATAAACCGTTTCATGCAAGGGAGCATATCAAAAGCACTACCTGCTGTAACCAATGCTCTCAAACATTCGAACAAGCTATATTCCTTCCTCATAACTCTGTGCCACACAACTCCCTCCCAAAATCGATTCCAACAGTGAAACATTAATAAAGGACACAAGAAAAGTCTAAAACTCTAGACAGTGTGAATATGGAAAGGGATGGGACACACAATATAATCAAAAACCCTAGATACTGTAAATATGTAAAAGGGATGGTGCCTACAATACAAAATTATCAAAATAAAGATAAAGGGCAAACAAAAAAAGAGTGTCTGTGGAGTTTCCCAGGACAACAGCAACAGAAAAACGCCATCGTTCAGAATAGCCACAAAAGTTAGTATGGCGCCCAAGCCATTACATCTGGGGGAACCACAAATCAAGCCCCCAAAATTGGTAAAGGGCGCATAAACAAATACAGAGTATTTTATTTTCATTTTCTCTATGATTCAAATGCAAAAAACAGTAATGCATATACAATATTCTTTCAAAAAATAGTGCACATACTATATATGCACTCTACTCCACAATTGGCATCATCACCACACCAAAAAACAGAAATTTAATATTAAAAAAAAAAGATCAGATCAAAGACAAAAAGGATGAAAATAGATCCAGAAAGTAGATCACATGAAATAAAATGGAAAGATTCCTAATATTCATGATAAAATAAGTAATTTGAGGAAAGCAATAACAGAAAAACAAAGATGGTGTAAATCAGAGATAGGCAGAAACAAGAGGAAAAAAACTCAATGTGAATATCAAGATGGAAAACTAATGAGAAAAAGTTTTGAAAAGTTGGGTGTTAGTGAACAACATTGAGTGTCACCAATAAAATAAGCGAAGAAAACAAGATAGGGAGGCTGGATGAAAGAGGCAAAATAAAGAAGAAAACAACAACAAAGGCCCCTACCTCTTTCACTATGACACCAAAGAGATATGGAGAGAGAGAGAGAGAGAGAGAGAGAATTCAGTGTGCCTAAAATCTGGGCAGATCCGCGACTAATCTACCTTGAACTCCAACTTTTTTTGCATCAATAGAAACCTAACACCTGCAAACCGGGAAAACCAACAGGAGAACAATCTGATCATTCACCTTACAAGGAACACATCTGAATCACAAGCAACAATTTTTAATCATCAGAGACAAGCAATTACCTAGAAGTAAATTCTCATGATTATAGTTGGTCCTGTGACAAATATCTAGTTCATGCTTTTATAAGAATGGGATAATTATAAGCATCATGAATCAAAATCATAAGTCAACATCATTTCTACTTAATCTACCATTAGCAAATCTCAAAGACATTCTGTATGCTAAAGAGTCTTAACAGGTAAAACTATAACGTCACCAGGATGTCTAGCCAATTGATTTTCTCACTACAATACAGATGTATCACATAGAAACGCGTAGATGTGATCATGCTACATCAAAAAAAATAAGGCTTGCTTATATAAATGCTTTGAAAAGAAATCATCATCTTGAATATAAGTTTCACAAAAGACTCACAAAAAGTATACGTGGATATGGAGACAGCCATATTGTACAAGCCTGTTTGCAACTTAACTATAGCTACAATATACTAATCCGTGTTAGACATGTTGCATATTCATTTCTTAAGTGATCATCAATTAAAAGCAAAGAATATGGAGACAGCCATATTGTACAGCCTGTATGCAACTTAATTATAGCTACAATATACTAATCCGTGTTAGACATGTTGCATATTCATTTCTTAAGTGACCATCAATCAAAAGCAAAGAAAACACATAAATAGCATTATAACACATGGCAACCCCATGGGAATATAATTTATATGATGCAAATTACAATAGTTTAGTAGCCTACCCTATTTGCCATATTATTTTTTTTCAATTTGCTAGACTCTTTTCCACATATTTACTGAACCAAAAAATCCAGTTTGTCGAAATGAAAACAAAAGATTTGAAGAAATAATTCACGCCCACTCTCATGCAAGAGAGCATATTGAAAGTAAAACCTATACTAATCAAAGCTTTCAAAAATTCTACCAACCATGAAATGAACAAACCCCGATATTCCTTCTTCATAACTCTTTGACACACAACTCCTAGCCAAAATTGAATACCTTAGTGAAACATTAATATAGGACAAAAAATATGTGCAAAACCCTAGATACTTTCATTATGGAAAGGGGATGAGACACGATATTGTGAATATGGAAAAGGGATGGTGCCTACAATACAAAATCAAGAAAACAACAATAAAAGGGGGAAAAAACAAGAGTGTCCATGTAGTTTCACAGGATAACGGCAACAGTAGAAGGCCACGGTTCAGAATAGCCACAAATGCAAGTATGGCACCAAAGCCATTACATGTGGGGGGATCACAAACCAAGCCCCCAAATATTGGAAATGGACGCATAAACAAATACAGCGTCTATCTCAATTTTATTTTATCTATGATTCCCTTTTCAAATAAAATTTGAAGGCAAAAAAAAAAAATGAAAAAAACTCCAAAAATTCCTTCTTTGTAACTCTTTGAAGCATAACTCCTACTCAAAATTGATTCTAGTGAAACCTTAATATATGACACAGTGTAAGACCCTAGATACTCAGAATATGGAAAGGGGATGGGACACACAATGTACATGAAAACCCGGGATAGTGTCATTATGGAAAAGGGAAGGTGCCTACAAAACAAAATCATGCAAATAACGATATAGGAAATAAACAAAAGAGTGTATGTAGCGTTTCCCATAACAACGGCAACAGGTAAAGGTTCAGAATAATAGCCACAAAAGTTAGTATGCCGCCCAAGCCATTACATATGGAGGAAACACAAATCAAGCCCCCAAAAATTGGTAAAGTGTGCATTAAAAAATACAAAGTATTTTATTTTCATTTTATCTATTATTCCCTTTCCAAATAAAATTCATACGCAAAAAACAATAATGAATGTACAATATATAGGTACTCTAGTCCACAATCAGCACCATGACCATGCCCACAAAAAGAAGCTTTATTTGAATAAATAAATAAAAAGAGAGAAAAGAAAAGACAAAATAAGAGATAAGATCAAAGATGAAAACCGGAAAATAAACCCAGAAAGTGAATCAAAGAAAATAAAACGAAAGGCACTCCTATGATTCATGAGAACATAACACGAGTAAATTTGAGGAAAGGGATAATAGGAAAGAAACATGGTGTAAACCAGAGATAGCAGAAATGGTAGGAGAAAAACCTTAATGTGAGGGAAAACGATTGAGAAAAAAATTTAAAAAGTTGGGCAAGTGTGGGCAACATAGAGAGCCACCAAGAATAATAAGCCAAAAAAAAGAAAAGAGAAACAAAAACAAGATGGGAAGGCTCGAAAGAAAGACAGCCCAGGATGGCAATGGAATAAAGAAGCAAAATACAGAAAAGGGGCCTATCACTGTGATACCAGGGAGGGAGAGAGGGAGATAGAGAATCCAGGTCGTATCAAACCCACCAGATCCGTCATTAATCTACCTTGGACTCCATCATTTTTGCATCAATGGAAAACCAACACCTGCAAAACAAGGAAAACCCCAATAGGGGAATAATCTGATTATTTGTCTCACAAGGTACACATTTCAATCACAAGCAAGAATTTCTAATATTGGACACTAAGTAAATTAAATCATGCTTATAGTTAACTGTTCAAAGAATTAAATCATGCTTATAGTCGGGTATGTGACAAATGTCTAGTTCGAGCTTTTAGAATTTTCCCACTAGAGCATAATAAATGAGATACTTATAAGCATCCTTGAATCAAAACTTTAAGTCAACATCATATCTATTACAGCTACCATTAGCAAAATGTCAAAGACATCGCCTCTGATAAAGAACCCAAGGGGTAAACCTATAATGTTACTAATATATTTAGCCAATTAATTTTCTTACTGCAACTCTGAGCATATTGATACGGTTATATCACATAGAGAAAAGTAGATATAATCATGCTCTTAAACATCAAAATAAATAGAGGCTTGTATGCATACATTGAAAAGAAAACATAATCTTGAATAAAAGTTTCACAAAAGAATTTGCAGAAGTATAAGAAGTGGTTATGGATGTATCCAAATTGTACAGTCCATGGCAACTTAACTACAGCTACTTCTGTGTTAGACATGTTGCATATTTATTTCTCAAGTAATCAATCAAAAGTAAAAGAAACATAGAAAAAAGCATAATAACACATGGTAACTCAAGTGAATGGCATTTATTTGATGCAAATTACAATAATTTGCAGTCTCTCCCATTTGGTATATATTTCATTCAACCATCGCTAGAATCTTTTCCATAAATTTACTCAACCAAAACAATCCAGTTTTATGGGAATAAAAACCAAAGAATCATAGAAATACTTCATGGCCCATTGTGTAAGGGAGTAAATCGAAAACACTACCTATAGTAATCAAAGCTTTCAAAAATTCAAACAACCATGAAATGAAAAAAAAAAACGGATATTCCTTCTTTATAACTCTTTGAAGCATATCCCCTACACAAAATTAATTCCTGTAGTGAAACATTAATATGGGACAAACGATATGAGTGTAAAATCAAAGATACTCTGAATATGGAAAGAGTGGAAAGGGGATGGGACACACAATATAACAGAAAACCCTGTATACTCGGAATATGTAAATGAATGGTGCCTACAATACAAAATCATGAAAATAAGGATAAAGGGGGGAAAAAAATAGTGTGTGTGGAGTTTCCCAGAACAACGGCAACAGCAAAAGGCCATGGTTCAGAATAGCCACAAAAGCTAGTATGGCGCCCAAGCCATTACATCTGGGGGAACCACAAATCAAACCCCCAAAAATTGGTAAAGGGCGCAAAAACAAATACAGAGTATCTTATTTCATTTTCTTTATGACTCCATTTAAAATAAAATTCAAAAGCACAAAAAATTAATGAATATACTACATCTAGGTACTTTAGTCCACGATTAGCTGCATCACCACCCCTACAAAAAGAGAGACAAAGAGAGAGAGAGAGAGAGAGGCACAATGGGGCAAGGATGGATGAGAGAGGAGAGAGAGGTGTTGGGAAGAAAGGACTAGGTTTAAAACTAAAAGGCAATGGAAATGAAAAGAACACTGAGTTGACTCCCATTTTGTATGATAAAAATGTTACTCTTTTCAATATATATCTCTTATCCAACTATATTTTAGTGAGTATCTCCCTAGGGCTGTCTCCTCCAAACATTCACACCAATGTAATAGAATAAAATGTAATAAACAATACAAACAAATGGGGGGAAATTTGTCTTCATAATAAGCAGAAAACAAGCAACTCAAACATGAAACACACTTTTGATCAAGAAAGTGGAAAAGGTCAACATAGAATGATGGGGAGAGATTGTACCCGGCATCCATCTCCATATGATGAATATTGAAGAAAAATACAGTACATGTAGTATGTTACGAATGTTATATAAAAAATACTTCACATAAACTTGGATATCTTCTGAATCTATATCTATTAAAGCAATGATTGCAAACTTCAAAACTTCTCCTGCTGATTTAGCAAACTGTTTAAACCAAATACATAAATTATCGTCAGAAAATGTAATCTTGAAAACCTATTGGTGTAATCTTATTGGAGTAGCAATCAATTGTATGATCAAAATATTTATGTAACTAAAGCAAAATCGGAAAAAGAAACTAATAGAGAACCAAGCCACAGAGATAATGGGACAGATAAAATTTGAATTTTGAAGCTTCAACATATAATATACATGAAAAGCTACTAATCCACTTGTTCATGTAATTATGAATTTAATATTTAATCATTTAACTTCAAGACAATCAATAAAAAAACAAAATGAGCATGCGAAGTTTCATCAATCTACAAGACTTTGCAATTCAATGTAAAAGGAAAATCCCATCTGTTTGCTACCAATTTCGACAAACTAAAGGACACCTAACAAGACTAATCCAAAAACCAGAGGCACAACACAAAAGAAAACAAACAATTAAGAGGTAACAGAACAGAAACATCAATACAAGCAAACCATAAATTAAAAAAAAAAAGGATGTATACAAACCTGATCGTCAGAAAAAAGCATATAAAAGCGAAGTGACTAATCATCAGGCCACATTCCACTATCTGCAGAAAAAGTATGAGATATGGCAACAGTGGAAATTAGGACAGGAGCAAGAAAGATAAATTGTCTATATAGCAAGAGAGAAAACAAGGAAAGAAGAAGTAAAAGCTCGGAAGAGATATTACCATTTAGTAAAGTCGGATACATGCAGGGGCCTGCCAAATTGAAGAACGAGAACTTTGCAAGGGTAGGGTATCTCTGATGATGGAGTCCACTTCCTGCTTCTTCGATAAGGTATTGAGGAGTACATCCTTCTCTCTAAATTACTTCTCTCCAAATTTTCTCTCTGAAATATGGTGTCCTCTCTCTAGATCATACATAACTAATTTTTCTGCACTTCCTCTTTTGGAAAAACAGAGGAAGTCCGCTGCTGGCAATTTCCCATTTGTGCAAACATGGATATCTGGAAGCCATTGTTTTAACCGTTAGTTACGTAACTCATTGATTGAAGGTTGACATTTATAATTTCCACGGAATATTTTAATTCATAATGCATAATTTAATTTAACTATAAATCTCTGCCAGACAATGGAGCCCATGGGAGAATAGAAAATGCATGATTTCCCTCCCTTTCTTTTGCAATCTTTAGGAAACAAGTGCATCACTTCTCCAAGAGATAACAGAAAATGCCTCGTGAAAGAACGACACTATATAACGGGAACATATCCACAAGGCCATTGGCCCATCAGCAAATATGGGAAAACTCTGCCGGACAACAACACTTACGTAAGGCCATCTTGAAAAAAGTAAGAAAGATTCCACAGAGTACAAACAGTAGACAAGTTTGTATTGTATTCCTCAACAAGGATCCCTATTTCCAAACCAATGTTTTGAAACTCCGTCGGGCCTCGGACTGGGGCCTGACCCAAGCCGGGTAACTCAGGCAAGCCTCAGTGGACTCAGCATGTCCCATACAAGAACAAAACACGCCCAGAAAACCTCAAAAAAATGTGAAAAAAAATAAAAATAAAAATAATTAGAAATAGCGAAAACTAAAATGAGTAACAGAAATCATTAAGAGTCTATAAAAGATGAAAAAATTACATAAAATATGGATTATTGAAAATTTTATTTATACCTTGAAATATTTCTGGAAATTTTTCAAACCTTGCTCAAGACCATTTTAAGGCAATTTTTCAAACCTTGAAATATTTCAGAAAAATCAAAGAGAAAAATAAAAACATCGGAACATACAATAAGGAAAGTTATCAATTCAACACAAAATCTATAATTTTTGAAGTTCCTAGCAAATGCGAGTTGGCCCCTGGAACTCATTTCCGCGGACACTGAGATACTCGGACGAGTCAGAGTGGACTCAAGTCGATTCCTTGAGCAATGTTCCAAAAAACTAACCTAGTGGAGTAAAGTAGAGTCCTAGAGTAAATATTCTTATATTTAAAGAAAAAAAAAAGGTAAGAGTCCTTGAGTAACGTTCCAAAAAACTAACCTTAAAGCATGCTGACATAACACATACACATGAAACCGAACAGTAAAAAGAGCATGCTACAACCATAACCTGGCCTGAAAATCAGTACGGTGAAAGGCGATTACTCGAATCCCATTCAAAAGTTAGTGCCTTTCCTATAGCACATCGCATCAAAAGAACAATCGCACAATTATCAGATATTATCAGAAATATCAGATAAAATTTTGCTACACTATGAAAAGATATTAGAGCACCAAGATGAAATTGAACGCAATTAAGAACAATGAAGATTAATAACAATGAAGATCAATGTTTTTTAACTCACATCGCGCCTGGGACTCATCCCCCGGCCCCAGGCGACCTTGGCTGAGTGGTAGTTTAAAATAAAATAGGAATGGTTAAAACTAAACAAAAACAAGGCAACATAAAAAGTCCAAAAAATCTAAAAATATATATATAACATAGACTTAGAAAAAAAAGTGATCAACAGTTGAAATTCTAAAAAATAAAATTAAAAAAAAAATAAAAACATAAAAATAAGGCATGTGACAGGAAAAACTCACAAAGCATTGTAAAAACCAACAAAAAAAAAATTATAACATTGATCCCAAATTTTAGGAGGCCCAAATTGGACCCAAGTACTTGACTATGCAAGATTAGGCTCGGCCGAGTTTCGAATCATGCGTGAGAAATAATAATAATGAAGAACATACCTGAAATTTCGCTGAGGGCTTGATGAGAGAGGACGGAAAAATATGAGGGATGGGGACAACAAATAAGGGCTACAGCTTGAAGAAAGAGAGCAAGACAGATAGAGAGAGAGAGAGACAGCAACAAGAAGAGGGATATGAATAGAAAAAGGAGGTTACAGAGAGAGGAAATAAGGGCGTGAGAAAAACGAGGGGCTCTCTCTCTCTCTATCTGTAAAACGAGGGGCTCGACTGGGGTTGAATAAGAGAGTGAAAGGGTAGAGAGATAAAACTTGGGGTTGCAGGGGGATAAAGGAGCGGCTCGGCAGGGCTGAGAGAGAGGGGAGGGGCATCGGTAGATAGAGGGAGCTTCTGGTCGCAGAGAGTGAGAGATGAGCAGTTCAACCAGCGTCGAGAATGACGCTTAATTCCAGGGTTTATGACTCCTGAATAGAGATTCCATTCTAGGGTTTATGATTACTAAATAGAGCTGGTAATGGACCGGCCCTCCTTCGACCGGTGGAACGATAAGTATTTAGGCGAGTCCCAACCCTGGCCCTCTCTGGACCAGGCCTAAAAGCCCAAGTCCAGGGCGGGGCCGGCTCTATCATGGTCCAACACTGACAGTTTGAAGCGCGTCTATCTACCCCACGAATGGAAGTTTATGAGGCTCGCTGTTATAAAACTAGCTAATTAAAATCGCAAGAGATTTCGTGGGGGATAGTCAAATTATAATTTAAAGGCTTAATCAACCTGAATAGACCATTTTTTCTTTAAATCATCGACAAAGTCACCGACTTCTTGCAAAAAATAAAAAGAAGCGTACTGTAAATCATATCTAACTAGGATAACTAAAATTATAGAATAAAAATGAAAAACTTACCTACCTGGGCCCAGGATGCCCAAACCTGAAGCGTGTATTAGAATCGTGGGTTATTTATCCCTTTTGCCCTTTCTTTTTGCCTTTGAATTTTATTGAAATCCAACTCTGAAATTGGCCGAAATTTTGACTATGAAAGTTCAAAGAGATTACAATTGTGCTATGATTTTGTAACCTATATCTAAGATCGAGAATTATGGGATCTAGGGTTTTGGAGGCTAAAGGCTTCTAGATAAAGGTTTTTGGGATCTATGGTTTTGGAGGCTAAAGGTTTTTAGGGCTAAGGTTAGGATGACCTAAGCTATAGCTTATTATCGATAATTAATGTTTAGAAAGCGAGCATTTTAAGTCTCTAAATGTTTAGACTTCTAAAATTTATAGAGTTTTGCTTGAAATTGGTTGTATGTTGAATGACCCGAATCACACAGCTTATATACGCATCAAAAGTCGGTTTCCACACATTTTAAAGTTTATACATTGTATTTATCTTAAAACTACATCAAATTCGGTTGATGATGAACACCGTGTCATTTGGAGAGTTTTGGGTTAGATGATGCACCTCGCAGCATTTGGAGTTTTTTGAATAAACGCCACACTCCCCAGGTTTGGACCTAAATAAGATTTATGCAAAACAAAACTTTATGGGCCATATCTTAAACAGTTGGAAAGCTCTTGACATCTTCTATAATTTCGAATCAAAATTGGGCCAATTTGGGTGTTTTTTAAGGGATCTATAGAGCTAGGATTTTTGGGTATTGATTTTCAGGTTTATGATGTTGTATTGGTGTATAGGTTAATTTCCTATGTTTATAGGGCTTAGGTCTATCTAAGATGACTATTTGGGATATTGGGTGGTCCCTAGAGTTCAGAACCTCATGAAAAATTAACCAATTTCATAATGGTGTACCTACACGTCGCAACATTCAAATAAATTTATTATGGACTTTGTGTCTAGTCAATGACATATCATCAACTACCCCAATTTTACATCTAACGTTCAAAGAAAAAGTTTATGCAAGGTTGAGGCCCTAAACAATCAAATTAAGTTGTAACTCAAATTTCACTAGAAGATGATATTTTGATGTTGAAAAACCCTCAAATCAATCATCTCAACCTCAAAATGTATAGACGTGAAAACATATGGATTTCATGTTTGGAAAATAGTGTCTTGTGATGCATTATCTGAGTTGTCAATTTTCAATATTTTCAAGTGTTATATATATCATTGACCTACACTATTTTGTAAGGTTTAAATTTTATAATTAGGGATGAAAATAAAATTTAAGGGCATCACAAATATTTTTACTATTGAGAAATCATCTTTTAATACTATTTAGAGGTACGTCTTTTCCAACAATCAATAATGGTTGTGATCTACTTATGCCACAAGTAAATGGTTTAACTTTTTATTTTTTTGGATAATTAAGTGGGGAAGACAAGCCCTACCAGTTTTTTTTTTTTAATAGAATGGGAAATAGTTTTGGAAAGTTGTTGCATGCGGCGGGGACCGCATTATTACATTTGTAGTCCCCGAGGTATAAATCATGCATTTTAAAGATGGATGCAAATAGGTGGTCTATCTGAAAACAATTGAAACTAACGGTCCAAATATTTTATTAATAGAATTATTATTTAAAATTTTAAAAATTTATTTATTTTTTCATATTCATGATCTTCATGTTAGAAATTACATGATCCTTAAAAATTACGTCAAAAAATCCATGTCAATTTTTTTTTTTTTAACAGGTGACTCGTTTCTACATGGACTCATAGAAACCATGTCCATTAGGTTTTTGAAGGTGTTAGTTGGTGGCGCTAGTGATATTAGAAGCCACGACGTGGTAACTAGATATATGTGTGTTAACCTTAGGACCCATTCATTACTTGCTATAATATGCGAAATCAAATAGTTGGAGATGTGCTGTAGATTGGGCACAAAATCCAAAAAAAATTATATCGAATATTGTGACACACTTCAATCCACTGCATTTCAAATCAAATGACAATGAGTAATAATGACCTCCATGTACCAAAAGTGAATGGTCCATATAATCCCTAAATAAAGTTATAACACCATATTTAATTCCACGAAATATATATATTTCAAAGTAAAACTCCCAAGGGCGAAGTTCGTATAAGGCTACAAACTTATTATTATTATTATTTTGGGTAAATAGCAATAACCTTAGTTGTATGAGTAAAATTGCACTATTCCACACCTTCTATGTTAATTAAACCGTGTAGATTTGACATTTTTTTAAAGTGCATCAAGGGATGCATTTCTACATTTGCTTCCTCGGATGCACTCAAATGGTAGCCCCACCTAGATTTAAAAATAAGGGTATTAAAACTATATTAAAAATCTCAGTCTTGTTTTTTAAATATATTTTTCTTTTGAGATTCATAATTATCATAGTTTTGATTTTTTATCTTTAAAATTTTAGATTCAAAATCCATAGTTAAAATAGATTTTGAAAAGAGGACTCATTTAAATAGGTGAAGCGGGAGGACTCATATAAACCTTGTCCAAAATAAACTAGACACCATAGATTATTGCAACCTTGAGCCATCAAGGTAAGGTACACCTCCAAACTTTGACATGGGATACCATTTTGGTGTTAAAATTATTAGGATGGTACAAAAATCTATTTTTATCTCTAATTGTAAACTCTAAATAGTCAAAATCAAGCAGATCTATAAACACATGAAAATCTTGAAAATAAATTATCTAGATAATGTATTACAAAATATTCTATTTTTAAGACTTGATGTCTCTTATTTTCTTTGCATATATACCTCTTGATGTCGAGATAACCGATTAGATATTTTTCAAAATAAAAACAAACTTTTTCAAAAAAATTAGAGGTGCGCTTTGGTTTTTAAGGTGTGAACCTTATGTAATTTTTAGAAAAGGGGATAAGGTACTATTTGAAAAAGCCAGTAGGGGCTGTCATGCCAACTAAAAATTACCCCAAAAAGACCTTATATAATTTATTTTTTTCTATATAAACTTTGTCCATGTGGCGATCCTTTTTAATCTACTTTTGTATCTTGGACCCACTTTTACACTCTATTCCATGTTGCCCGCTCACTTGCTTCCGGATAAGCCTCTATTTCTCTCTCTACAAAAAAAAATATTTTTTAACTTCCAAATTCTCTCTCTTTCTCTCTCTTCATTCCAGTTTCCAAATTGATCCATTGAACCATTCATGTATATCTTTTGAGTGATTTATATTTTGTAATAATGGCGGTTTTGGCAGCAAATTCTCACCTGAGTTACAAAGATTTTTGCCACGCTGATCAACCAGTAACAGTTCATCCTCTCTCCTCTTCTTACATGGTATCCGTTTCTGGGGTTTTCAGTTCCATGAGGCCTGAAGAATCAGTGGTTGCCTCACCCAAAGGTAGGAGCAGAAGAGAGAGAAAGTTCGTGAAAAGTGGAGTGAGAAGCAGAGCTTTCTGGCAAAATGTTTCGAGACCCTCGTCGATCGAATTGGAGGCCATTGTTGGCTTGGAGGAGCTCGATCAGGCCCTCAAGCAGGCGCAGGACCTATCCCAGCCCATTGTCATTGAATGGTTTTTTCTCTCTCTGTCAATTTAGCAGTTCTAGTTAATTAACTGTGTCAATTACAAAACCCCTCTCTCCATTTACAGGATGGCTGCTTGGTGCCGGAAATGCATATATTTGAAGCCAAAACTGGAGAAACTTGCAGCGGAGTACCACACAAGGTGAAAGAAAACTAAACACTTTCTCTGGTCTTCTTTTCCATCCGTGGTGGTCAGTAGAAAGAAAAAACACCAATGGTACATATCTCTCCACATTAAAACTATTAGGTTATTATGATGGAACCGAATGGGGAAAGGGTTTGGTAGTGATATTTTAAAATAAAAAAAATATATAAATAATATTGTAAAAACATAAAATATACTGAAAAAGGCGGTCCAACTTTATTTGGCAGGCTAACTGATTGAATCAAAACCGGTCTGTTCAACCATTAAAAACGGGTTAAACATTGATACTGATTTTTATGGTAGACAAAATTTGGTTTCTACTTTCGATCAGACTATCCAAAGTTTGGGTTAGGTAGTCTAAGGATTCCAACAAGTCCATAAAAAAGAAAAAAAAATAAAAATAAAGAATAATAAATAAATAAATATATATATATAATGTATGGAACCATGTGATCAAGTATGTCCAGGTAGCTTAGTACCTAGAAAAACTCACCTGGTACCATAACAGGATGGAGGGGGTCCATAAAAACCAAACCAATTCCGAGTTCCAATAAAAAATAATAGGTCAATCTATACGGATTTTCCGAATCATAACGACCGTGAAACTCCGGCAGAAAGAAATACCACCAAACACCAATGCAACCTCTCTCTCTAGCAATGTAGTATTTCTCTCTCTCTAACCGCTAGGGGCATTGTTGCGTGAGTTTATGGTCTTGAATTTCTAACTCTTGAGTTGTGTGCAATTTGACAGAATAAAATTCTATTTCGTGGATGTCAATAATGTCCCTCAAGCCCTTGTGAAGCGTGGCAACATCTCTGTATGTTTTGTTATCCCTATTCTTCCTCCTTATTATGTATGCTTTCGATAATATAATGCTCTCTCAACGTAGAGCCCTATAAACCTGAAATTGCCCTTCTTACCATGCATATCTTGCTATTCTCAGTCCATATTTTTTATTTCCAGCCATTTCAGATCAAGACCATGTGATTTTTATGGATATTTTGAAATTAAATCAAAATATATCATTAAAGTATTAAAATAAATATTAATTTTAGATCTATTTTTCCGTTCCTTTAATATGAGTTTGTAATAAAATGTACGCCATTGGGCTATTGTCAGCTTTAGGCCGATCCATTGGTGGTCAGTCATCCAAGTGATGGGGCTCGCAACGGTTTTACCTTGACCACCATTATGGGTGTTCTATAAGGTTGCAATCTTAAACAATCCAATTAAGGGGCACCTCCAAATTTTATTATAACATCTATTTTTGGTGTAATTATTTTTTTTAAGATTATCTGAAAATCTATTTTATATTTATTTATAAAATTTTAAACTTCAAAAATAGTTAATATCAAATAGATTTATAAATATATGAAAATCTTGAAAATGAATGGTCTAGATAATGTGTTGCAAGTTGCCTTATTTATGAGACTCAATTTTTTTATTTTTTTTTTCATATTCATACATCTCGATGTCAAGATGATCAATTAGAAGGTTTTTCAATATTAAAATAACTTTTTTCGATAGATTTTTGAGGTGCATCTGTAATTCTACATTTTGGTTGCAACCTTATATAAACATTTTCCTTGCTTTAGTGAATAAGGTTTATATGAGTCGGTTGTCTCACCTATTTAAATGAGTCCTCTCTCCAATATCTATTCCCATGATCACTTAGTTTATAACATATTTTTTAATTTTTTTAATGCTAGAACGATCTTGTCCTGATTTATACATTTTGTTTCACTTGCATGCTTGGACGGATTTTGGTTTCAGAAAATGCCAACAATTCAGGTAAGTTATGAGCCACTATTATTGTTATAGTTGTTGCAATTGTGAAAGAAAAAATACCTCAAAAAGCCGCAGCTTTATTCTAACATATCGCATATCTTACCCACTTCGTACCTTCCTTGAAAATAAAAAATCCACCGATTCGGATTGGGTATTGGCCAAATAAAAAGGTATTCGTCCTAGAGCAACTCCCCAAAACCCATCTTTTATACTTATTATTATTTTTCTAAATTTATCTAATAGTTTATAGGTCCCAAAAACCCCCAAGCTCTTTTTTTTTTTTTTGGCTATTTCCCCCATCATTGACGCGGGCCATATCCAATGGCCAATCCATCAATCTAACACAAATCTGTATGTAAAACCCCCAAGCTCTTTTTTTTTTTTTTGGCTATTTCCCCGATCAATGACGCTAACCATATCCAATGGCCAATCCATCAATCTAACACAAATCTGTATGTAAAACCCCCAAGCTCTTTTTTTTTTTTTTGGCTATTTGCCCCATCATTGACGCTGACCATATCCAATGGCCAATCCATCAATCTAATACAAATCTGTAGGTTGGATGATCCACCCCACTGGTCCAAATTTTAAAACACTACAAAAAATATAGTTACACATTGAAAACTTATAAAAATTTAATCTCCACCTCAATGACCATTGTCAAAGAAAGATGAATTTGAAACCCTAAAGTTAGTTCATTTTACAAAGACTTTTTCTGGAATTGAAAACTTATAAAAAGTTCAAACTGCTGAAGAAAGATTGATTTCAAACCCTGCTGAAGAAAGATTGATTTCAAACCCTAAAATTAGTTCATTTTATAAGACTTTTTTTTTTCAATCTATTTCACGTATTTTTAAATATGTGCATGTACATAATTTTTGGAGTTTCAAATACTAAAATAAAAAACAAAAGTAAATTTGCGAGGCATCAAAACGTTTTCCACCACTGAATCCGGTTTTTTCAAAGGGATTTTGAATATTCAGCCTTACTAGAATCCCACGGCCTTAGGAAAACATCATCCATTAATCAAGGGCTTGTTTGAGTTTTCTAATATATATACATATATAGTGTGAACACTCTAACATAACCATAGGCTAGTGGTCCTACAGCTATATATGAACCCAACAACTCAGATTCAATCTAGACCGATTTGACCAACAAAATCTCATTTTGTATTTTAATTTTTTTTTTTTTTACAAATCCAAATCACGTGAATGTTTAGACGTCTATTCTTTTCATCAAAGTGCACCTAATAAAAATATTAAAAAAATAATTCGTAATATATAAATCTACCAAAATACCCCTAAAAAATTTCGGATGTATTTTGAACAATTTATTTCTCACGAAATATTTATTTGATATTTTTATTGGATTATCCTATTTTTAAAAAACATACGATCAAAATTTCAAGTGATTTGGATTTATATATATAAAAAAAAAATTAAACTTCAAATGCGAAATGCAGTCGTGATCATTAGATTAACCCAAAATCAATCTAAACCGTTGGACTCATATGTAATTGTAGAGACCTACTGGCTTAGGCTAGCATTTCCTATATATAAAATGAAGCATCTCCAATAATTTCTAGTAATTAATGCCTAAAAATATTCCCCGCATGCCCATTTTTGCCTCATTTAAAAGAAAAGAAAAGAAAAAAACCTTCCTTCCAACTAAGCAAAATCTTCCTTCCAATCAAACAGCTATGGAAGGATGGAGAGATGAAGGCAGAGGTGATCGGAGGGCACAAAGCGTGGCTCGTGCTTGATGAGGTCCGTGAGATGATCCACAAATTCTTGTGATTCCTTCCTACTTTTTTCCCTTTCTTTCTATTTTTCTATTTTCTTTTTGCATTTTTGTCATTAACATATGTTTATAAAGAATAATTTAGTGAAACATAGGGGAAAAAAGAAACATTAGCAGTTTAAACTCTAAACTCTCTCACTCCCTCTAAGTCCTGTCTCTCTTATGAGAGAGGCCCAAGTGGACCTTCAATGACAGTAGCATTACTAACATCGACTGCTAACCACTCCAGCCCAAGCCTGATTCCTGGAACTTCAATGTCACTTGAAAATGGCTTCTTTATTTTGTTGCTTAACAACATCATAACTGGAAAAGGAACTCAAATTTCTTTTATTAAACATGGAGGTCATGAAAACAGATGAGTCTGCAAAACCCAAATTCTCAATTTCCCAAACAAAGTTCACCAGACATTTATTCACCAAGATCCACCATTTGGAGAGAGGAAATGAATGTACAGTTGATAATACTACAAAGTGATATACCGGGAATCCCGGTAAACATAAACAAGACTCCATGACCACAGCATTTGTGCCACAGCCACAATGCTTTCTTTGAATAGAAATTGCTTCTCTCTTTACCACCAATGCAGTGAAAACTGTACATGCGGCAAAAGTGAGCTTCAAAACCCAAACATAAAGAACAAATTTCAAGGGGAGAGATGAAAGGAATTACGAGAAACTGACAAACATGGATGCAATGCAAGTTCAGAAAGCTCTCTCTCTCTCATGTATAGACACTCCAATCACTTTGACAACAAAAAGGCGATAACATCAACGAAACATTAGAGGCAGAAATGTATGTGATGACATGCAGATGGTTGCAAACAACTTCAGAGGTTCACTAGCACTATGTTTACTCTTAAACCATGTAACTGACAAGGAAAACTAAGCATTCTGTGTGCTTGCAAATAAGTACAGTGAAGTGCTTTGAAATGGCATAAGGGCCATAGTGTACCTGACCTCGAGATTGAAGGTCAGAGTAACAAATTTTTTTTTTCCTCTCGTGATCAGAAGGTGAGAGTATCGCTGTGCAACAAACACCTCCAATTTAGGCGAATCAGACCCCATAACAAATACAGATAATTTTGCCAAAAGTTTGCCTAATCAAGGTTCTTGTCCAAGACTGCAAGACCCAAGTTTTATTAAAGGAAAAACTAATAAATAACAACCTAATATTGCCAATTGAAGTGGATCCAAAAAGAAAAAGCATGGTCATGGAGTCATATATCTAAGTTTTCTATTGTCTGATAATTGAGTAAGACTTGATTGTTTCAAGGACAAGGTGAATGTGTTCGGTTTTAATGAAAATGCCTCGAAGTTCAAACTTCAATAAACCACAGCTTCCTTATAAACAAACAATTGAAAGCACCATAACGATTAAACAAAAAGGAGGAAAATATAATGCGATCCTATTTTCAGATGGGTCTCAAACAGTGGTTTAAAACATGGAACCAGGTACGGAACCCGCAGGCTCCGGCTTGTATAGGCACGGCAAATCCAAGTCAGATAGCTCAATAACTCGGACCAGAAATCATTGTTTCTTTTTTCATGAACACCTGGACAGACTTCGTCAGGACTCAGGTTACCCTAATTAAGGTCATCTGAAACCAGCAAGATGCCGGTTGCAAGTGACTTGGGCAGACTCAGACACCCCCAAATGCTAGACCTAAGGAAATGGGTAAAGCTGCTGACAAAATCTATAGGCATTAATCCCTCATTAAGTGTCTGTGATGGTTGAGTTGCTTATTTGTATCTTTTATCTTTACCAAATGTCATTTCTTAAAATGCATATATAGAAGGCCATGGTCACTATATAATATATGTACCATACACACATCATATGAATCATACTAGTATCAGTCTACTTTTTCCCCAGAGAGCAGTTCATATGACAAGTAGCATCAAAGAACACGTTTTTGCCATGCTTTCATATGTATGTTCCTTGTTAAACTCTCAACATCTGCACTTTCATTGAACCCAAACATCCCAATTGGCAATAGGTACTCATCATGCTAGTTTTATTAGTCCACCAAAGCCTACTCCCCTTCTATATCTCAATCATCTCCAACGCCACCCTTGTGAAAACCTAATCCACTCATCTTACCGCGATCCCTCACCTACCACAAAAATTAAAAATAAGAACTAATAGTCATGCGCACCCCTCCCTCTCCCTTCTCATTTTTCCATCTTGTACACTTTGTTTATTGTAAACTACACTCTACATCTCTCCCCAAATAATGAAAAGAACCAGTGCTTAAATACTTCAAGCCCGACCCAAACCAGCCTAAATCAGCCGGAGCAGGCACCCTGCCGGTTCTAGGTGATCCTAACTTGAGTAACCCAAGTGATAACAGAATCTGCCCAAGCCTACCCATGCCATGACAGAGCCTGTCCAGGTATTTAAAGAAAGGAAAAGTATAGAATGAGACCATTTACCTTTGATAGAAGGTGGTCACAATAATCTTGACCATTGGATGTGAAATTGGGTGGCTGCAATTATTCCATTGACCAAGCTCAAACTTCAAAAGAAATTTTCTTGAACTTCGTGACACATCCAAGCAATCAAATTTCACATCAAATGGATGTAAGGAATTATGACCACCTTATATCAAAGGTAAATGGTTTCATTCTATACAATCCCTTAAAGAAATCAGCAATTCCTGATCTGAGTCCTGACGGATAGAACTCCGGACTAACCAAATAGACTTAGACCGGGCCCTGCCTACTTCCAGGTTTCATCATAAGAGCAACAACAACAAAGAACAGCAAACCATTCCAGTCACAGACCATTTAAAAAAAAAAAAAGGACTCGACCATTAACCTCACTAGTTTCCGTAAGTTCTTTGTAACCATGATGCTTCACTAATTTTACTTTTGTAGAGCAGCTGGTTTTGTTTGACAAACTTCAAGGGTCTGAACCCTTCATCTCCCTACCTCACCCAAACTGATGTGTCTACTACTAAGTCCAAGCCTAAGGGACGTTTCTCTTTCCCTCCCTTAAATGCCCACAAAGCCAAAATTCTACCATGTCCAAACTACATAAATATTCTAGTCATTTTTAGTACTTTTCAAAACAGTGATTCCACAACCATAATTTCGTCCTTTCCAATCTTTGATATCATGTAACCTAGACAAGCATTAACAAGAAAAGAAAAGAAATATACTATCACTGAAGATGATATGGTCCAAAGGATACAATTTCGGAGAAAATTGTCTATAGGAGATCATATAATATCTTGATCTTTAGGTTAACAATATAGGAGAAAATTCAAGATGAAATTTTCCTCCCAATTTTTCCCACTCAGCTCTCATCAAAGGAGACAACCAGCTTAACCTTTCCAGGTTTCATTATACTTATATATATATATAATCTAATGTTTTGTTACATCCCCCCTAAATCCCCCACTCATAAACCCTTATTTTAATTTTTATTTTATTTCATTTACTTTTACTATTTTTTGGATCATCGATCCAATGATCTTACATGGATCTGTCAGTGAACGATCCGCCCCAATGATTTGGGTTCTAAAACCCTCATACAAACATTACTTAATTGCTCATAACTATTTTCGTGACTTTAGCTAAGGGCATTTGGGATCATTTCCAAAAAACATATAGCACACAACTTGGTATTCTCAACTACCGAAAATTGGGTTGGCAACGACTGGGCTAGCCTTGGCCCTAGTCCCTGTAGGGCCAGCCCTGGCCTGACACAGCCTAGACTCTGCCAACAAGATCCTAGCTCAGGCCGGACCAGGCTAAACTTGGCAAACCCTGTCGCGGCTATGACCCAGGATCGGCCCTCGAGATGCGGTGGTCTGGCCCCGCTTGACCTAGCCATGCACGGCTATGACCCAGGACTGGCACTCAGGCTGTGGTGGCTTGGCAGCCTAGCCTCAGGCCAGCCCTACCCTCGTGTTGTGGTGGTCCGGCCCTAGCCTTGCCTTCGGGCTACAACTTGTGGCCCGGGCCCCAACTTTTAGGGCTGGGCCAGGCTAGAAGGTCCAGCCCATTGCCAGGCCTACCAAAAACTTAGCCAATCACCTGAAGACCTAGGTAATCATACTATGACTGCAACTATACTAAAATTTGCATAATAATGGGCAATTTTTCAGAATTATGACTGATTTCTTCTTAACATGAATCCATTTTGTATGGGCCTCCAACATGCCAGTTCCCCATTTCCACATTCACATGAGTACATAGTTGACTATTGCATTGCTTCAAGTCATTTGTACATCATGAGTATTTGTCATATTAAAACTTTAGAATTCCATGTACCTATAAACTTCTGTTTTCTAACTTAAGAACAATCTATTCATCCAAAAAAAAGAAAAAGTAAGAACAATCTTAGATCCAAATGGATGATCAACTCCTCGAGATCATCAATCCATAATAGGATTTTCGTAGAGTTCTTATTCAAGAGTAGATGTATCATGCTGAATAAAGATCACTTTACAAGCCAGTTGAGCCCTTCCTACTCTAGAACACAAGCCAGCTCACCTCTTATTCGAGCAGTCATGAACTTTTATGCACATCTCATCAAAGAATGAGGAAGGATTTCTCCAGAACCTTGGCCAATAAAGTTTCAGCCTTTTGCATTTTCTGTATGCATGTAGGGTCATCACCAAAGAGCTGTTTTTTCTTTTCATAATTTGCACCTTAGATGTAGTTTAGCCAAAAGAGAAGTGAATGAAAAAAGTTCATACAGTCCTTTTTATAGATGGGTTCTTCTAAAAGAAAAGGCCGCATGATGGCTTTACGTCATTTTTTTTTTTTCCTTGTGTGTTTGGGGAGGCGGGCTTATATGTTGGGAATTTGGAAGATTGTGAAGGTCATGGACACAGGCATGGTGATTCTTTTTATTTTATTTATTTATTTATTTATTTTTTAACAAATTTAGGCTTGGTAAATTTGGGGAGGCAACTTTTTTAGTTTTCCAAGTTACTAATCTCAATTTTGGGATAATATGTTGAAGGACATGTCACGAGGAATAGGCAATTTGGAGGGTTGATATAACTTTCAATATCCTTCAATATGTTGAAGGACATGTCACAATGGGCATAATGTGTTTCAAGCATCAAACTATAAAAAAATGAAAATCCAGAAAAATAAAAATGAAAAGATACCAACTTCCTCTTATGCACACAAGGTATATGTACCTTGACAACACCCAATATTCTTAAAAATTCAGCCAAACAAAAAGAAAAACTCTTCTCCAGTTTCTGAATAAAAAATAAATGAAAATGGAAGGAATACAAAAATTAACCAGTTTCCTCTACAACAATTCAACAAACAACAACATGGAAAAGACTTCAAATTATCACCAAATAGAAGCAAAACTGAAAAAAAAAAGAAAAGAAAAATTCAACACATTTACTGAGATCGTGAGATATAACAACAATTGAAATAATTTCAACAACATACCTTCTTCACAGAATACCAGAATAGAAGATCTCCTATCGTTCGATCAGCCCCCCTCTCGCCTCCGACATGACTGCATCCCCATCCACCTCCGCCTGTGGCCTGCTCGAAACTGTCTCGCCGCTGCTTGTGGGCCCCACGATAGACGTGGTGGGGCCCACCTGAGCCATCCGTGTACCCGAACTGATCCCTGGGAACACCATCCTGTGCCTCCTCGCAATGTTCTGCAATGTGCTCCCGATATCGATCCCCAAATTCCCCTCAATCAGCTCCTCAAACCCCAACCCTAACCCTAATCCTTGCCCTAGTTCCCTCAAATTCTCCAAAATGCCACCCAAAGGGTCCTCCCCATCGCTCATCGGGACCTGTGAATCTCCAAAAATGCCCCTCAATGCTTCGGAATCGGCAGAAGGATCCTGCAAGGTCTGCAAAATGCCCCTCAAAGGGTCCAGCACCTCGACGGGCAGTGCCTGAGAATTTCCCAGAATGCCTCTCAATGGGTCATCGCCGTCCTGCAAATTCCCCAAATGCTCCTCGGTTGGCAAGACGAAGCGGCAGACGGGGCACGAATTGTGCGTCTGGAGCCACGGAAGAATGCAATCGCCATGGTACAAATGGTTGCAGGGTAATTGCTTGACCTCGTCGTCGATTTCGAATTCATCCTTGCAGACTGGGCAGTAGATGGCGAGATCTGAGGTGTGAGAAGGTGGCGGAGAGATCCTAACCGTCGGAATGGAGGCGATGGAAGCTTTGGAGGTGGGGAGAGGGGAGGGGTTGTTGGGGTGAAGGAGGTGGGCTAGGGTTTGGGAGAGGAGTTCCCATTGCTGGCCGGAATCTTCGCCAGAGAAGTGATCCTGGCCGGAATCTTGGCCGGAAAATTGGTTATGGTGGGGAGGGGAATCCAGGTCCATTTGCTCGATGAAGTTGCCTTGGCAGTGGGGGCAAAGGAGAGAGAGAGTGGGGAGGAGAGAAACCGACATGTCGCACTCGTGGCACCAGTAAGTCTGCCCTCTGCTACTCGATGACATGGTAATGCTCTCTCTATCTCTCTCTCCAGCCGCTGTAATGGCCCCTTCTCTCTCTCCAGCGACTGTAATGGCTTCTCTCTCTCTACATCAGCTGCAATGGCTTCACTCTCTCTCTTTCTATGCTCTGTTTCTCTCCAGTTGGGCCTCTTTAAGGCCTCTCTCTCTCTATCTCACTGCTCGCTGTGCCCATTAACTCGTGCGTACGAGGCTATGCCGCCCTGGCTCTAGACCACCAATCACTAAAGGTACGTTTGTAAGGCTGAGGCCATAAACAATCAAAATAAGGCGTACCTTCAAATAGAGCCGTTTATTGATTAAAAAAATTTATGATGATCTGGAAATATTTTCATTTCTAGTCATAACATTTAAATATTAAAAATTGAGCAGATCGTTGAACACTAAAAAAATCTAAAAAATCAAGATAATAACTTATTAGATGCACTATTTTAAAAATTTTAAATCTTTTTTTTCTTAATTCCACGCATCGAGGTCAAGATGATCGAACTTGATGGTTTTTTAACATTGAAAAAGCCTCTTCTTGTGAATGTTTGAAATGCGTCATAATTTGATTGCTTAGAGCCTCACCTTTATATAAATTTTTTCATGACTAAATGAGTCTCTAACACTTGTATTAATATTAAGAGGGGGCAATGGGCCAAACTAGTACCCGGGAGTCGATAGATACACCCAACCTCGGGTTTGAATATGGGTCCAAATTTTAGACCTGAATACTATTTAAGTTTAGATGCGGTTCAATTGGACATGACCTATACTTGTAGTTATAGGATATATGATGACAATCATGTATCTTTAGAAAAATAATAAGTGTTCATATTGTCACAATATTTACAGTATTATTGACAAAAAAAAAAAAATCACAATCATATGATATATGATGGGCAAAAAAAATAGCAAACAAAAAAAAAAAAATCTTAATCATAAGGTCGAAATGGATCCAACCAAACCCAAAGCCCGACATATCTTAGCACATATCCAAATTTTGGATCCAAACGGTATTCGGGTCCGAGTCCAACCGAACCCATACCAACCTGTTGCCACTAGCTTGTATTTCATCTATTCGGTCTCGTATACGTTTCCCTCCGCTTTCTTATCGTCTACGGCTACTTGCATATTCTCAAATCTCAATAGCTCCATTATCAATCGAAAAAGAGAGCAAAATTCCCAATTTCTCCATACAGTGGCTCTCTCTCTCTCTCTCTCTAAGAAAAGCAAAATGCATTCCCAATTGCTCCACATTGTTTCTCTCTCTCAAGCAAAATTCCCAATTGCGCCATATCTCTCTCTCTCTCTAAGAAAGCCAAATTCATTCCAAATTGCTTTATATTCTCTCTCTAAAAGCCAAATTCATTCCAAATTGCTTTATATTCTCTCTCTAAAAGCAAAATGCATTCCCAATTGCTCCATGTTCTCTCTCTCTAAAAGCAAAATGCATTCCCAATTGCTCCATATTGTAGCTCTCTCTCTCTCTAAAATAATGCATTCCCAAATCCCTATTACTCTACACTGGCTCTCTCTCTCTCTAACTTTTGAGTTTATGACGACTTTCGGTTTGAGTCGCCATCATCTTACTATTATAAAATGCTGGACTTTATGCATAGTTTTTATGCCTTCGATGTGTTATTATTTTATGTATCTTAGAAGGGGGGCAACGGTACGCTCCCTATCACTATCAACATCTTTTCTTTTCAAGTTATTTATAGTTGAATCAACATTGAAAAAATAGTTATTTGTCGAAAAGGTTTACACTCCCGCAGAGCATATTGTATACTTACTCCCTTAATATGTTAGTATTTTACTCCCTTAATATGTGAGTATTTTTAAGATTCTGAGTTGTCGGATGTATTTTTTGCAATGTGGCAACCAACTTCAGAAATAATTTAAAACACACTATGTGCATTTGAAAAAAAAGTGTTTTAAAATTGAATGTAGATCATCGAATTTTTGGACGGCGAGATCAAAGTGTTAAAGAACTTAAAATCGAATTTTTAAAATAATCAACTAGAATTCTTCCTAATTTGATTATGCACCTGCAGAAGTGAGCAATAAACTTTTACAACAGTATACTCGCTCAATGTTATTTGAATTTGATTGAATGTATTCAAATCATCTAAAATGCCCACATCCTTTTGTGGTAGCACTCCGCCACAATCCCAATTCCCAAAATATTCACATGAACTGGTATTATCAAGATAAGATTGGTCTGTCCAATCAGAGTTTAACTCTTTAAGTTCAAACAAAAACTGAATTTAGTTTAAAATATATTAAAATTAATATTTTAGTGTTTTTGATTGATTGAACTAGTTAATTTTGATCAATTGAACAAACAAAACATTATATATATATATATATATATATAATTTTTTAACTATATTTTTACTCTTTATTTTTTCTCAAGCCAGATCCAACCAGTTTACTTGAACCTGATGTTAGTTGGACCAAACCCGTAATTGCTCTGATAACATTGACGCAAACCATTGTTATCCCCTACCTCTCTCTCATAAATATTTAAAATGTAGGAAAAAATGCTCTACTGTCTTCTAATAATTCTTTTTTTGATGGTATTATTTAATTTTATTGCTCAAAGAAAAAATTACAATAAGGTTAAGCATCAATTAACTCTTCTGCAACAACACTCAGCCCTCACCTTCAAATAGTATCGAGAAATGTGGTTTCAATACTGAACATCTGTGTAATAGCCTTAAAATATACTTTCATCTCGAATTATAAACTTTAAAGCTTAAAAATAGTATAGATCATGCAAATCTATCCAAACTTGAAAATATTGAAAATTGACCGATCAAAAGTACATTATAATATGCACTATTTTTAAAGCTTGAAATCTATTTTTTCATCATGTCCATGTATCTTAAAGTTGAGATGATTAATTTGAGGACATTTGGACATCTTCTACTGAAACCTTTTAGGTGTGCTCTAATTTGATTGTTTACGGCGCTGACTCTATATAAACTTTTTCCTTAGGGGAATTCCCTTCCAAAACAACAAATCCCCGTCAATCTTGCTTAATATTTTTTAAACGTTGTAAGATGCGTTGAAATCAACCCTATGATTTAACACACCTTTCATTCATCTCACATCACAAATGCTACCCTTGTTTTATTTAGGACTACATGGTGTTTTGTCGTCAAGATAAGAAGAAGGGATCATTACCAGGGAAAAAACAAAGAAAAAAAAAAGACTTCTATACTTTTGTTGGAGCATATATTGTACACTTACTCCCTTGGGCAGAATACTAACTTTGGAAAAAAAATTTAGATCCAAAATTTTGGAAACCCCTAAAAAACTACCGGATGATTATATTCAAATGATAACCTTTTATTTTTAATATTGTTTTTTTAACACTGTCTCACTCTAAAAGAATTGGATGTTTCTATATGTGGATTATAAACAAATTGAAGCCCAAATTGGGCACCACAAAAACGGGTCCCAAATCGAATCGGCAGATAGCTATTGTGTGAAACAAAAAATGAAATAACGAAATCATGTGAAAAAATAGTGAACCAGCCAAAAACTGGTTTGGATTAGTGAATTGGCAGTCCAAATCGATGTTTTATTGTAGAGAGTCGTTGTTTTATTATGCAAAACTGCCAGTTCCCTTTTCGATTCGGTCATTTTCTTATATATACATAGAACCTGAGACAATAGATTCCCGAGTAGAATCAAGCTCGTTTTCTATTAAATCTAGATTATCTTTCTAAGCCCATATAGATGAAAATTAGAAATTCATTTCATCAATTATAGTATATGACTTGAAGATGTTATACCCCCAAAATTTGAGGCCCCAAAAACACTCTTAATTGGGTTTTATTCAAGAGAGTAAATTAACAGTATGCTCCATATGTAGCATGAAATCCTTCGGCAAAAAACAAGAGATATATTGGAACCAAAGATGTGGAAAGCGCATGTAAGTATTCCATCTAAAAAACAATAAAAATTAACTGCCCAAATGTTTTTTTACTAGAAATATATATTTTTTATTGTTCACGTATTTTTGCATATTCATGAGATTACACATTTTTAAAAAATTAAATCCAAAAATCCATATAAAAAATAAATTTATTAATAAGCCCGTGTTTCTACATATGCGGGCTTGACCACATGAATACCAGGTCAGACCAAATCCATTGTCTTTTTCGTAACCAAGCCGGCAAGACGCCCAACCAATTGGGCGGCACCATCCCATCATTTGTCTTCTGCGTGTCCAAGTATAAAGGCAATTTGCCTCTAGAGTGACCGCGGCACCATCCCATCATTTGTCTTCTGCGTGTCCAAGTATAAAGGCAATTTGCCTCTAGAGTGACCAAAATGCCCTGTTACTTGAAATTCTTCCTAAATTCAACATTCCCTTAAACTAAAAGTAGTTTATTTGGAGAAATATAAAATGGGACCATTTACCTTGTATCTCTATTTGATACAAGTTGGTCGAATTAATCTTGATTATTAGATGTGAAATTGGGTGGCTGCAATTATTCTATTGACCAAGCTTCAATTTTAAAATAAAATTTATTAAACTTTATAACATATCCAAGCTATCAATTTTTACATCAAATGGTTTTAAAGAATTGTGATCACCTTGTATCAAAAGTAAATTGTCTCTTTTTATACAATTCCCACTTATAAATGGAAAAGCTTTGTATGGGATCCCATAAATCACATAAATGTATACAATGACATTATTTGTTTTGGGTGCGGTTTGTATAGAGCCTAGGCTCTAAACAATCAAATTAGAGCCTACCATCAAATAGTATCGAGAAATGTGGTTTTAATATCGAAAATTTGTGATAGCCTTAAAATATATTTTCATATTTAATTATAAAGTTTAAAGCTTCAAAATTAGTGTAAATCGACATATCTATGAAATCTTGAAAATTGACGGTCCAAAAATGTGTTACAAAATACACTATTTCCAAAACTTGTAATCTATTTTTTTCTTATGTCCATGCATCTTGATGTCGAGATCATCAATTTGAAGATATTTTGACATCAAAATAACCCCTTCTAGTGAAATTTTTTAGGTAGGTTCAAATTTGATTGTTTAGTGCCTCAGCTCTATATAAACTTTCCCCA